GGGCTTCCTTCTGGTAGAACAGTCCTGGGATCCAAGGTTGGGTGGTTGGAAACAAAGATGTCACAATGGGCAGGAAAGATAGGAAGGAGGGTTTCCTAGAAGCTAAGGATAATAAACTGGGTAAATCTGACCCAAAGATGGAAAGAGAGAAGTGGGGTATTGGGGAAGGGCTAAGCGTACTTGGACCAGGATCAAGGAGTGACTCTCATTGCCTCTCCCCGGGGAGTGAAAGAGGTAGGTACGGAAAGGTGCCAAGAATAGAAGAGATGAGAACGGAACCACCTCCAGTGGAGGAATGAACTATCCCTAGAATACAGAGACAGGTTCTTTTTTAGCATTTCATTGTAATTTTCTTTCGGTATTGTTATTCCCTCTCATTATCCCCAAAAAAGCTAGGTCTCCACCCCTTCCTGGTCTTAGTCACACTGCAGAGGCTTCAGGGGCTAGCCTGTGTTCACATTTGACTGGCAGCCCATCCCAGTACCTCTGTACCCTCCCCCTCCCCTTGAGTCTCTTCTACGGGTAAGCATGGTCCTAAAAACACCTACTTCAGAGAAAGCGGGGTCCTAGAGCATCAGGGGATATCGGACAACAAATGACAAATGTCTCTTATGGACAGCATCTCTGGAAGCAGGTAAGAGACCTTGACCCTTCTCCCTAAACACTCACCACTGCCAGACCCAGGAGAGATCAGATGACCTTGAAAGGGGATGCATGGCTGGGTACCGCCCAGGATGTATCATGTAGACCACAGGACAAGATGTGGACAAGGACTTTATAGCTTCTGTATCTGAACCCAATTCTATGCCTACAGACAAGACAGAATTGGCTGACCTTCATCCCTTTCATAGAACCACTGTCTTACTACTATTAGCAGGGCTCCCTAGGGTAGCCTAGGGCTTCTCTGCAGCTCCAGCTGTTTTTCCAATGAGATTGCTGCAAGATCTTCTTATCGGTTCAGCCAACTCCTGCTATTGAGAGGTGTGGTCCTCCTTCCAGAACAGGGATGGAGATGCCCATCTCAGATACAGAACCAGGTGTGGTCCTCCATCCAGAACAGCGATGGAGATGCCCATCTCAGATACTGAACCAGGTGTGGTCCTCCAACTAGAACAGGGATGGAGACGCCCTTCTCAGGCACAGAGCCAGGTGTGGTTCTCCACCCAGAATAGGGATGGAGATGCCCATCTCAGACAGAGAGCAGAACCTTCCTCATCTTCTTTCATAAGTGTAAGGGAAATTTTACTAAAGTTACGGTTCTCAACTAGTGTCTTTTGTCCTTCCAGGGGACATGTGGCACTGCCTGGGGAAACCTTGGTTGTCATAAACAGTTGCCAGGAAGAAGCCAGGCATTGTGCTAAACATCCCACAATGCATAGGGCAGACCCCACCTCTCACACACAGCAAAGAATTACCTGGCTCAAAATATACACACCATTAAGTTTGGGAAGATCTTCACTAGAATTGTAGGATAAAAGTATCACAACTTTTCCACTTGCCTCCAAAGCCATTCTTCTGAAGGAAAGTTGACGCCTCAAAATCGATACCTTCCAAGTTGATCCGCTCATGACTACTTCCCTAGTCTCCAGGGCAATGCTTCACCAACCAGCAATAAAATATTTGTTTATTAATGGGTTGTCTTCATTTGGTAATCATGTCTTCAGGCTTTGAGGGGAAAGTCGTGTGCAAGCTCTTTCTAAAATATTATTATACCACTGGGGTACACATCCAAATATTAACACTGGGTATCTCTAAAAGACAGCCAATGAGGTTCGTGCTAAATGCCCCCAGCTCATTCTTTTTCTTTTATGAGTGCTCTGTCTGCATATACAACTTTATGCCAGAAGAGGGCATCAGATCCTGTTATAGATGGTTGTGAGTTATCATGTGGTTGCTGGTAATTGAACTCAGGTCCTCTGGTAGAGCATCCAGTGCTCTTAACCGCTGAGTGATCTCTCCAGCCCCCACCCCCCAGCACATTCTTTTTCAATTTAATTTTTATTATGTCTGTTTGTTTATTGTATCATGGGGGGCACTACAGCGCTACAGTGTGCATGTAGAGGTCAGAGGGCAACTTACAGGAGTCAGCTCTCTCCTACCGCCATGTGGGAACCAGGGATGGAACTCAGTTCACCAGGCTTAGCAGCAAGCACCTCCGTAAGCTGAGCCCTCTTGGCACTTCCTACACATATCTCCCTGGAGACTGTCTTTAAAACTTTTCTGTATTCATGACAGCGTGTATGTCAACTTGACCACTTTAAGATGCCATCATTTCGTGGGCCGTTTGAATAGAAGCTGAAAGAACCCTGGCCACAGAGAAGTGACCCCTGCCCCCCACTGTAGAAGGTCTTGCTCCTCAAAGGATAAAGTGCTAAAACTAGGTGACAAGCTTGGACTCCCACAAAAAGAAACGGGAGCACTCCGTTTGAGAACACGGAACAAAATCATGTTCCCCTAGGGGCTGACATGAGGGAACCACAGGAAAAAGGCAGAAAGAAGCCCCACCTGGTCACCTGCATGATTGACACGGGAGAAGAACAGGAGAGATAAGCCCCAACTGCCATTGAGACTAACTTCACCCCCAAAATACCCTAAGAGGCTCCTCTTGTTTTCTTCTGATAAAGTACTGGAGGCCCTCGGGAAAGTGTTATCTCTATGCCAAGAACTCTCTTCAGTCTCCAAACTACAGCCCCAGTCACTGTCCCCTGACTGTCAAAGAGATGGTAGTTCATAGCGGTGCAGGAGCTGGTGGCAGGTACACACACCGTTCTCAGTTAAAAACACTGCTAATGTTTCAGCACTGAAAAACCAAGGCCTGCAGAGTCGATGGAGCTAATGGTGCATGTGTAGCCCAGCACTTGCCCCCAGCCCTCCAAAAGCAGCCCGGACACGCCCAAGTCATATCTATAAAAAGCAGCCCTCCTGGCCTTCTTCCAGCCAGCCTGACATCACAGATTCCAAGCTGCGTGGTTGTTATCACACCTGCTGGCTCCCTCGAACTGCACGCTGCGCCCTCCTGATAGCGCAGGGATGACCCGCAACCCCTGAGGCACCGGAGGGCTGGCAGGAGTGGTGCCCACTGGCTCCATTTCTGTGGCAGTCAGAACTGCCCACCCCTCCTGTCCCTAGCTGCGGTTTCAGCCCTTTCTCCCCACTGGATCTGGAGATGTCAGAGGGTGTGGCTGATGCTTGCTTTTCCCCAGTTGACACTGTTCTCCTGCCAGAACCTATCAGGTTGGTGCCAAAGAACCCCTCGACCAGGCAAACGGTACCGCTCTAAACACATAAGCATGTGTGTGGTGACAGATGTGTTGGTGAATCCAAGGCAGAACCAGACAGGAATGACCCAGCTGGATCAGTAAGAAGTCGGGCTTGGGAGATGGTGCAATTGGTAAAGTGCTGGCCACCAAAGTGTGAAGACCTGAGTTCGATCCCAGCACCCATGTAAAAAGCTGAGAATGGCAGCCTGCACTCGTAATCTCAGAGATGGGTAGGCAAAGACAGAAGCATCCCTGGGGCTGGCTGGCCAGGTAACCTAACCAAACCATTGAACCTCCAGATTGTAGTGAGACCCTGTCTCAAAGAGAAAGGGGAGGAGCTAGAGAAAAGGATCAGTGGTTAAGAGCATTCACTGCTCTTACAAACGACCTGCATTTGGGTCCCAGCCCCCACATGATGGCTCCCAACTGCCTGTAACTCCAGTTCCAGGAGATCAGATCTGATGTCATCTTCTGGCCTCCGCAACACTGTACGTACATGGTAAGCATGAAAGGCGTGAAGGCAGGCAGAGCATTTTCACACATGCAAATCTTAAAAATTAAAGAAAATCATAGAACAAAACACAGAAAAATGACTCCAGTGATTAACTTCTGACCTCTCTATACACATGCATGTACAGACATACACCAAATATATAAATAAATACTTTTCTAATGACTGTGTAAGGGATCCCAGCTATAAGTCAGGGTTCCTTAGTTTCCATGGCAATGTTCCCAGAGATCCATCACAGCCATATTTTCTGCCAAGAAACCACCCTTATCCATTTGCCTTAATACAATGGAGAGATGTACACACAGTGGAGAGATGTACACACGGTAGAGAGATGGCGTACACACAGTGGAGAGATGTACACACGGTAGAGAGATGTACACACAGAGGAGAGATGTACACACGGTAGAGAGATGTACACACAGAGGAGAGATGTACACACGGTGGAGAAGTGGTGCACACACGGTGGAGAGATGGTGCACACACAGTGGAGAGATGGCGTACACACGGTGGAGAGAAGGCGTACACACGGTGGAGAGATGGCGTACACACAGTGGAGAGAAGGCGTACACACAGTGGAGAGATGGTGCACACACAGTGGAGAGATGGCGTACACACAGTGGAGAGATGGCGTACACACAGTGGAGAGAAGGCGTACACACAGTGGAGAGATGAACAATGTTTCTATGACTGGAGGCTGCATGCATGACATCCTCATCTAAGGATTCATTCTTTCCCTCTTGGTCCACTGGGGCCATCTGTCTCCTTCCTGGCCTCCAGGGCATTCAGATGTCCATACTTCTTTCTTGGGGAGACATTTGGTCACCAGTGATGTACAGGTTTTCTGAGTCACCTAGGATATCTACCCTAATCCCAGGGACAAATAATTAGAGTTTCCAGGACCTTCCCTGTGACTGCCATCTTTGCCTGTTTTTCTCTTCAGCACATACTGCTCAGAACTAACGCTGAGGGTGAGGAACCAGCAAGGCCCCTTGTTCACTCAACTCTCATCCCCAGGGGAAAGCTCAGGACCTCTGCAGCCTGCTTTACCATATGGGATTGCTGTATAGGCCCATCCACACAGCTGCCATCAGAGCGCAGGCGTATGTAGAACTCCTGGCTAACGCAGGTAACAGGCGAGCAATGATTCTCCCAAGATCTTCAGCCACCCACGTGTCCCCATCAGCTCCGGCTCTACGCCCCTACAGATATATGTCATTCAGATCTCCTACCTTAACAAGGCAGTGCTCGTGACATTGGCTGGAATTCTGCCAGGCCAGTAAGCCAGTGCTGGAACACGATGCCCGCCTTCCCAGGTGGTCTGCTTGGCTGAACTTCCGCCTATGAGAAGAAGCAGTTGTTTCAGGACCATCAGTAACTCGAGGGTTCTTTGTCGGCTAAGAGCTAGCCTGAGGGAGAACAGTACCTCTCTAAGGACATGCAATAATTTCAACAGAGAATTGGCTTTTTATAAAAAAAAAAAACAAACAAACAAACAAAAAAAACATTTTACTGCCCAGCTGTTTGTCACCCAGCTAGTTAACAACGTTCAGGTTTTGGTTTTACTGGACTTAACATATATAGACAGAGCCCTGTTCCTCTTGTGACAGTCTCCACTTTAAACTTTTATTTTAGCTGGGCAGTAGTGGCACACGCCTTTAATCCCAGCACTCAGGAGGCAAAGACAGGCAGATCTCTGTGAGTTCGAGGCCAGTCTGGTCTACAAAGCCTAGTTCCAGGACAGGCTCCAAAGCTACAGAGAAACCCTATCTTGAAATACCAAAAAAAAAAAAAGAAAGAAAGAAACAAACAAACAAACTTTTATTTTATCCTTGAGTCTGCACTACAAGACTCAAGACATTCTAGGCGCTTGAAGAATCTTTGTTGAATAAATGAATTTCCATCAGACAGGCAGTTGATCTTCTGCCTGTCTGATGAATAGAAAGCGAGCACAGACCCCTCCAAGTTGTTCACACAGCCCCAGTATGAAGCCCTTGGTTCAATCCCCAGACCCGAAAAACAATTAAAGCAAAACTACAGTTCTTTGAAAGTGGGGGCTTCCTCAGCTGTTCAAACTACCCCGTGCCTGACTGATCTCGTGTGGACTGATTTGGGTTTGCTTTGTTTTTCCTTGAATTAATGAGTCCTGATGAAACAGTATCAGTCATCTTCCCGAGTGTTTGCCTCTTGGTGGGGGGGGGGGCGGCCAAAACAGCCCGAGTGCAATCTATGAACTTTCCCATTAGTAATGGGAGACATTATTTTTGTAGTCAAGTTAAAAGTGACCACCAATATAATGACAGTCCGTGGGCTGGAAGAGATGAGGTCATGTTTTAAGAAAACATCCTGAATACACATGTTGCATTGAATTAACCATGACGGGCTCCGCCACTCCTACACACACACACACACACACACACACACACACCCCACCCTCATCCCCAGTTGAGCCAGAGGCCAGGGATTCCACAAGGTTCGCGTGTAAGAAGTTCTTCCAAGGCAAGCGCTGTATGTGGCTCACACACACACTGCGGTCATGCAACTTCCCCGAGTTTGGCTGGTGTAAATAATAAAAGCAATCATGGGTGGGGAGGCGAGGCGACCAAGATGAAGGCTTCCTCCCTCTGTGTTCTCACTGCCACAGACCGAACCTTTGATGTCCCTGGCTCAGTACACCAGACCGGAAGTGCTCCAAATTCCTGGGACCAGCACACAAGGAGCTCTGGAGTCCCCCAAGTGTCGACAGAAGAAGCAGAACACAAAACAGCTCCCACCCTATGGGCTGTTTACGTTCAAGTGTGTTGGGCTCAAGAAACCAACTAAATTCAGTCACTACAGACTGGAAAGGTCTTTGATCTAGTCCAGAATTTCTCAAGTGCACACTTTCCACCGGAGCCTTCTCTCCCAAAAAACACACAGAGAACAAGACCCCCCCAAGCACGTGGAACAGAAAATCCGGAACTGTGGCAGAGCACAAAACGCGTTTCTATGTGGGTTCAGGAGGCGCGGCACGTTTCCGCTCAAGGCCGGATAGCAAATGAGTCGGGGCACAGACGTGTGCTTGGGAGTCTGGGGGTCTTTCCAGCCCTGGGAGGAACATTTGCATGGACGCTCTTGGTATGAGTGGGTGGAAAAACAGGGCCCTTTTATAAACAGCCCATGGTGCGTGACATTCAAAGGGCCTGCTTTGAGGCCAGATGCTAAAGCCAGGCCGAGGCTTTGGATCTAAGAAGTAAATCGTTACCTCCACCCAGAAGGCAGGAGCTGCGGCGCAGCTCTGTGACAAGCAAAGCGACACCTGTTTCTGTGAGACTGTGGGCAGCTCTTTTGCAGGTGGCTGACCTCCCCCGGGGGTTCTCAGTGGAAATGGTTTCGTTGTGTTTGTCATCTTTCAGTAAAGGGTCAGAAGCTGGAGGGCTTAGATGGGGCTGTGCCAGCAGCAAACGGATCTGGCAACACATTGGAAAGTTCAGCAACTGAGAGTCAGGATTGGCCCATAGAGGCCCCTCAATGTGACCATGTGGGCGGGGCTACTCAGCCAATCCAGTTGCACCTAAGGTTCTAGTTTTAACTGAAAGGCATGATTACCTATTTCAGTCATGTATATGACCCCAGTTCCACAGTCCTTGTATGCTAAAGGAATTTAGCTTGAATCCTAAGTTTGGGCAAGCCATTATAAAACTAAATGTTTATCACCAGCAACACGGACATTACTCTGTTTCAAACGCCAGTTTCTCACCAGCCCTGCTTGGAGTGGAGAAAGGTCTCTCCAGTATTTTCCATCGGCCTTCTGAGGGGCGGGGTGCAAGCGTCAGCCATGTGTGCTTATTCAACCGTTTGAGTGTGTGTGGTTTATCTTTACTAGTAAGAACAGAGTCCAGAATAACTGCCTCTAGGCAGCTGTTTTATTCCCCATTCCAAGCTGACGATAATGATAACGCTAACAATAACATTGTCTATTAATGGAGCCTTTTTACCAAGCACCAAACTAAGCATGTGACTAAGTACTTTCCTACGTTATTTCATTGGATTTGGATGACAATCTTTTGCACATTTGTGTGTGTGTGTGTGTGTGTGTGTGCCAGTGTATGCTCACACCAAGGCTGCGTGTGGAGGTCAGAGGACCACTTCTGGGAGTTGGCGCTATTCTTTACCAGGTATTTAGACTTGGCTGCAAACATTTATCAGCTGAGCCACCTCCCCAGCCCTTCTATGGCAATCTTTTGCACTATGTATTATGACCCCCCTTTTTTTTCCTAGTAGGAAAAAATTGAAAAGCTCAAAGGGGTTAAGTAATAGTTTCAGTCCTGAGGTCTGACTTTGGGGGAGTTTGATATGCTAGGAAGTACTTGACCACTGAGTTTGAGTTATATCCGCAAGCCTCACCCCTTCTTTTTATTTTTCTTTTTGAAACCAGGTCTCACGAAAATGCCTTGAATTCACTACGCAGCCCAGGCTACTCTCAATTTGTCAAATCTCCTGAGTAGCTGGGATAACAGGAATGTGCCACCAGCCCTGGCTGAGTTTAAATAGTAAGTCCAGACCCAGTTACACAGCCAGGACCCTCACCAATCAAACCTTCTGGCATAGCCGGTCACATCCTGAATGCATATCCTTTAAAACCACCACGGTAAAGTCCCTCCCTAGAGGCTGTGATTGGCAGGAGAGGCAGCGCGCTAATGTCTTAGAAAGCTCTCCCAGTAACGTACTTGGGCAGGATTCATTCCCAGGCGAGAATCAGACACGATGCACTTCAGAGCCAAATGTAGCTTATGTGCTTTTGTTCTGTTTTTATTGTTTTGTATGTGAGTGTTCATACGTCGAGGTGGGTGTGGGGATGTAGGTCCGTGTACATGAGGATAGGTGTGAGGCCAGAGATCAACTTTTGGTTTTGGTTTTGGCTTGGTTTGGTTTTGCTTTTGAGGCCCAGGGAAACTAAGCAGCCTTCTCTCATTGAGAGGATGTCATTTCCAAATAAGGGAGAGAATCTACCTGGCACAAGGGCCTGTGCCTGTAAACCCAGCATTTGGAAACGTGAGACGCAGAGATCACTCCAAGTTCAAGGCTAGCCTGGGATAGATAATGGACTCCAAGCCAGACAGGGTTATAGAGTGAAAGAGTTTCTCAAAATTGATTAATTAATTAATTAATCCCTCAGTAGACTTGACCTGTGACCCATTTATCCCCCTTTCACATCCGACTAATTAGTAAAACCTGGACTGTTTCCTGATCACGCTGGGGACGTGGGAATTTTCAGGAAGTAAAGACTTTTTGGCTGTGGCGGAAGCACGGGAGGCCAAGCTACTGAGTTTTTGTTGGCCTAAGATCTTGAGGAGGTCAGGAAGAGAGGAAGTCATGGCTGGGACTTCACTCTCCTTACCTAATTTAATTGCCCGGGGTCAGAAAAGTATGGTCACCACCGCCCAGGCTTTCCCTCTGTCTCCCGGACCTTTTGTTCTTTTTGACATCTTCTCTTGTCCTTTATGGTCTCCAAAGCAGGGCCATACTGGCATGCCATCTGCGACCAGGCCGCTGGCTGGACCATGTGGAAGAGGGGGCAAAGAGCAAGGTCTGACCCCCGCTCTGTATTCCGCATCAACCCCGTAGCACCTGCTCATCGTACCCCGTGGCCTTGGTGCGCCGCAGTGACTCACACCCCCACACTTCCCTGCCGCTTCTTGAGCTGGCTGGCTTTCTGGCTCCCACTCTTGGACCAGGTTCTCAGACTTCATCAGCAGCCACATGCCCAGCTTAGACGGGGTAGAAGAGACTGCCCCAAAGACCTTTCGTTTTCCCAGAACAGCCTGTGTTCTAACCACACAGCAGGCAACTCATCAGATTTGAAGACCCAGGTCAGACAACCTTCCTCTGCCTCCCCACTGGCTCAACTTTAAAGCCTTTAAGAGGTGATTAGCAGCTCAAGGTTAGCCTTGGGTATCTTCCTCGGGCTTTCTCAGACAGGATCTCTCACTTGACCTGGAACTCAGTCAGAAGGTAATAGAGAGAGGCACAAGCTCCAGGGCTCCACTTGTCTCTGGCTCTCCAGCACTGAGATGAACCATCAGGTACAGCTTTTTAACATAGGTCCTAGGATGTCCTCATGTTTGCAAAGCAAGCACTTTACAGACTGAGCCATCTCCCCAGGCTTGTGTGCTTTTGAATCACAGGCTATAAGCGGGCCACACCTTTGTCCCTTCTGCCTCAGCTGCACGAGAATGTGACCTGATAAAGTCACAGCAAGAAAAACAAGTCCATATAAACTTCTATGCACTTTTCAATTCCGAAAGCTAGCTGTTAATTTAGATAAGCTTTACCACTTCGACCCGTGGCCCTGGGACATT